TGAGGAGAGAACCAAGACACACACACACAGAAACACAAGCTGAATGGCTGTGCTACAGCATCACTTTGCAAGAACATCAATATTATCTATTTCACGCTATTTTTTTATTTTTATGATCATTAGTGTTTCATATTTAATAGGATCACATGAAATATCGAATTGTCATAAGATCCTTAAATGCTGAATTCAGGATAAAAATACCTTAAAACGACTGCACATGTTGGAGCTTAACTTGTTTATCATAAAAAAAGCAGGGTTTGGATATTATTACTTGGAATTCTGTAACATTTAGTAGTCCTTGTTTCACACCTGCTGCCCAGTCTTTACAAGGACACAAAAAGATGGAAACAGAAGAGTGAAAATGAAGTAATGCTTGATAAATTGCAGTGTTTATTCTGTTGCTAACAGATTGTCACCCGTTGATGTTAAGTGCAGGATGAAGAGTGCTTTTATCTTCCAGCTTCTGATAAGAACAAATGTATGTGATAAAATGTTCTAACAGAGGAATATATCCTGGTGCTTACTGATATATGAGCATATATATACCCTCAGTCCTGGTTTAGTCTCCAGGAGATGGTGAACAGACCTTTTGCTCTTTAACCTAATCCTGAAATACGAATATGCAGAAAATTGGTGTCCCTCCACTGTGTATTCTGTACTCAAATGACTTGAATTCTTGAATTCTGGCTCTGGGTCATTGATGCCTACTCTTGGTTTGGTTTTTTGAACTATACATAGCTCATTTCAATCCTTCCACTAAGGAAGGATTTGGCTAATTGGTTGTGTTGGGTTTTAGTGTTAAAAAGTTTGGTTTTATTCCTCAAAGACTGGACAAATCATGTTAGAAACCAGTTTGTCTTCTGCTTTGTTTATGGCATGTTTTGCTAGCCAGCATAAACAAAGCCTAGGGCAATTTGCCATCCTATTCTAGACAGGATGTCCAACAAATGGAGTAAGTGCAAAGTCTTCTGTTTACACTGTGAACTGAGTTTAGAGTTTTTTGCTTCCCAGTTCTGGATTCTTTATCCCAAAAGTGATTTCTTATCCTGTGAGGAGAAAACTACAACTCACAGTGCACAAATCTGCATTTTTAGGTAAAAGATATGTAGTAGGTAGAAGAAATGTGTCCCAGTACTTGGATTACAGGAAAAAGAGTATGCTGAGAGAAGAAAGAATTCTGCCATGTATGTTGGTGTTCACCTTAGTTTCTGTGTTGGGAAGAGCATACTTGAAAGACATGAGGAGTGATGTGCTTTATCCCTTCCCACACACTGGGCTTGGCATGCCCTGGAAGAGTCTCCCAGTAATTGTTATTTATGGCTGTGGTGCAGCACTCCAGTGGCTCATGAAGTGTCTCTGGTGTCTCACTGAAATGGAATGTTTCAGATACAGACATGAATATCATAAAAGACACTTTTCCCAATAAAGCTGCACCCCTGCTGATTAGGCAGTGCCCTGAGGTCTTGTGATAATAAGATCTGACTTAAACCTCCACACTCATCCCTCTGCACACCTCCCTTCTATGTCAACGCAGCTCTTCCAGCACTCAAGTTCATTTCAACTGTTAAAATTTGTCTCCTCACTCTCAAGAGCATCGAGGTCTGGCTCTTTGCAAGTGGTGGCTGCTAGACATACACATTAATTTATTAATTTCAGGGAGAAAACAAGACAAGGGGAGAAAGAAGAGAGCTTAGGAGTGGAAAAGGAGCAAGAAGTGGCTGCAGGAGCAGCCCCACAGCCTGGTGGTAGCAGGGTGAGCCACAGTGCTCTGTCAGGAGATCAAAACAAGTGGATCCACCCTCATAATCTTCTTCTTGCACAACCCCTGGCATGGCTGCGTGTGGCTGTGTTTCACACTAAAAAGAGGTGAATAAAGGACAGACCTCTGACTTAAACAACATTTAGAGGAGATAGAAGTGAATTTTTAGACTGTCCCTGAGCCAGTTTACTGAGTAAACTGACAAGTATAAAGGATGTAGTAAGCAAGTTGGTTTTGTATCAGGGTGCAACTAATTTAATAGTTACCAGACCAAACTCCTGCCTTCTGGTGTTTTGAATTCTGAGGTATGAAAATGAAATGTGTGAAGTACAAAATAGGATTTCTAGATGGTGGGAGTGAGCAAGATTTTATTAAGGATGTTTGTTTAAATACTGCTACAGCAGATGTAATACAGATCATAACATCTCACTAAGTCACAGGAGTTCAAGAGTTGAAAATGGCCATTTAAAACTTGTGTGTATAAATAAGTGTCAGGGAAACTGAATAAATTCTTTTCTCTTGAAGTTGAAAAACCTTCTCAGACACTATAAATGACAGAAATTTCATCTTATTCACCAGTAAGCCTTTCCAGAGCAGTCAGTGACTCACAGATTCAATGTCAGTCCTAAAAGCCTTCCAACCTGAGGAGAATATGAAATGATGAAGCATCCTCTGCTGCACATCTGCTTGAAGTACAGCATAATGCTGTTTTAGCACCCGTGATTTCAGCAACACAGGCACCAGTCTCAAGTCACTGAACACCCCTGTTGTGGCAAGACAGGACTGTCCCTTTTCTGTGGAGTTTTTTGCTTAGGTTTGGTTTTTTGGGTTGGTTTTTTTTTTGTTTGTTTTTTTTCCATCTTCTAGCACAGATAGCCAGGGGAGGAAGTAACTGACTGATTGATTACTTGTGACTACTGAATGAAGGCACCTTTAAAGAAATGTCTTTGAGCTAAGGCAGACAAAGTCATCACTTGATAGCCTGTTGATTTGCAGAAGGAAATCACTTAAATAGATATTCTTCCTGGAAAAGTCCTGTCTGCTGCTTTGCAGAAGTTCAGATGGAGCGCTGTGCTTTGCTTCATCATCACTTACATTGTGTAGTATTCCTGTAAGAGTGTGAAGAACGGGCAAGAGACCAACAGAGAAATCTTCAAAAGTTAGTGATATAATATCTTGGCCATTGATTACAGCAGGATTCAACCCAGCTGTGCTGGAAATGTGCTCTGTTAGTTTGGACAAGCAATTGCACCCATTGTCACCTCATGGCCTTATTTGACTTAGGACAGAAGGTTGACTATTAGTTTAAGACAATCTGAGACTGTACTGCTGCCAAAGGGACACTCCTCCACCTCTTACATCAGACCAGGCACCCACATGACCATACAATAAACTGATCCATCTGAAAACCAGCCTGGGGTGGGGGGAAAGATGGAGACTTTTTTAAGTCAGAAAGTTAAGCAAGAAGGTAGAAGGTTGCTGGGGCTTATGAAACGGGTGGAGTGGCAACACGGATCTAGGGGGATGGAGAGGTGAGACCACCACCTCTGAGGCAGTGGGATTCAGCAGGTGAGTCTCATTTGAAGTCCCTTTAGCATGCAGTGTGGCCCAAGAAGGTTTGCTCTGGAGAGAGAAGCAGGTTGTGCTGCCTCAGCATTCAGCTGAGTGTGTTGGAGAGGCTGTACTTCAGGTTAGCTCTGGGCTTGTCCCTGTAGGAGCCTGCTGTACTGGGTGTGCTCCTGGAGTGTGTCCCTTCCACTTTAGTTGATAACACAAACTTGTGTAGATGCGTGTGTACCTGGGGACACCACTGGTACTCATGTTTTTTGAGATGTTGAGATGCTCCCATCATATGGAAGTATTTAGTCTGTTTAAACTCTCCTGTTTGGGGGTGAGAGGCAGGAATATAGCAGAGCTGGTGTTGAGCAAGAAAAGAGAGACCACAGGGATGTAGTCTGGTTTTATCCCCACAAGAAACTGAGTCTTCTCTGTGTTTCTGGTTTGAAGCAAAGGAGGTGTGCCAAGGCTGAAGCTCAGCTCTCTGTGTGGCTCCTGTTGGCCATGGTGCACTCAATGTTTTTCCTCTTTGTGGTCGTTCCCAGCATAGAGCTCTGCTCTTCTCAGCTCCTGGGTGCTTCACCAAAGCAGTCTGTGAACTCACACTCTCGTTTAAATGTGCCTTTTTGAACAGCATCCTTAATTTGCCCTTTGGGGGTGCTTTGTGCAGTTCAGTGTGTTTAATCACTTACTCATATTTTTCATGGGTCACTCTGGTAGTAAAAGACAGCAGGGGGCACCAAATCTGCATAATTCTGTTAAAATTCCAACATTTAGGTCCGTGCTGATAAAATTTAAGTTATTAGGCATACTTTCAGTTTAACAGTTATTATGCATACCTTCAATTTAACATCTGTAATTTCGTTCTAGCACCAATAGTTTCTAAGATACCTCCTTGCTTCTCAAGAGTTGCAGTGCTGGAAGTTGGGGTTGAATTTCCACAAAAGTATACATTTGGGCCAGCAGCAGATTTTCTCCTGCCTGTTGTCATCCCATTTCCTTCCCTACTTAGTGCTGTAGGCTCCGGAATTCATGCCCAGGAAGATACTCTCTCTAATACTTAATTCAGGAAGCTGTTTGTATTTGCTGAATTGGATTAACTGAAGGCTTTGCTTTTCAGCTCCAAAGTATCCTGATATTTGCATTGTGAAAAGATTTTGTGCTGAAATCAGTGTTGGACTATCTAAAGGATTTATCCTTCTCAATGCAAAATGTTTTCAAGCCTAGATTAACCTATGTAGCTGCCTCTGTTCTTTTGGAGAAGCTGGAACTTGACTGTCTTACAGGTTTTTTAAGAAAAAATCCTCTGCAAAATTAAAATGAAATGCAAAATATATTCTCTAATGGTTCTTTGAGAATTGATTTAAAAGTAATCTGTGAGCATGGATCTGATTCAAAAGCCTTCCTAAATTGATTGGTTCGCACTCATGAGACAGCTATGGGTACCCTCAAAGAAGCAAACCCTATTATTTATGTATATAACACACAAGTATTATTTGTACTTTGGAAGTGCTTCAGGGTTGGATCCTCATTTGATAACATACAAAAAAAAGTAATATTGCAGTTTGACAGACACTTTTAGAAATCTATTAATTGTGAGCTACTGGTAGTGTACTTCTGTAGTGCACTCAAGCCTTGCTGAGATGGTCATCACATGATTTTTTTTTCTGCCCTGCATGCCCAGTCTTGGATTTCTATTCTCCTAAATTTAAAATCCTGCTTTGAAAAATCAGACCATTAAGAGAGAGAAAGAGTCATGCAACTAAGAAGAGAACCTAGGTCTGAGATTTGACTGCTCATCCTGTAGCTTCTGGTAAGTCATTTTAGTGTCAGATTCATAAAATAATTTGGTTATTTGAATTGTAAGTTCAGCTGGGTAGCTGCATGCCTAAATAAGTAACATTTCCAGACTTTTTTATCTACTTTAAATGTAATCACTCATTGGATAAAACAGGCAAACAACAGACCTGCTAAGCTTTCCTGAACAGCATGTTCTTACAGGCAGTTGCTATTGTTTCAGTCAGCAGGAAAAGAACATCTTGTCAGATGACCAAGACTCAGGTGAGAGCAAATAATGTGCATATTAACAGCTTGGTAAGTGTCTAACAGCACCTGTCCTGCTCTGTGCTGGACTGATGGCACATGCTCCACTGAGCTGTGCATGCACAGTCTGTCCAGGTTTTTGGAATTCAGTGACTTGGGCAGATCTGAAATGTTAAAAGCGGGAGCTAGAAGTGTGATTTCCTCCAAGGAGATACAACTGAATTACTCTTCATGATTGGTTTACTGAGCATTTTCTCTATGGGTTCACAAATCTTTATTTTTGATTTTGCGGTTTCACAGGCCTTACAACATTATTGTGAAGAGAAGTACATTAAATATTGGGAAGAGTACTAGGCATTTTCTCTTTGGGTTCACAAATCTTGTATTTTTGATTTTGCGGTTTCACAGATTCGCTGACCTTACAACATTATTGTGAAGAGAAGTACATTAAATATTGGGAAGAGTACTAATACTGCCATAATGGGGATTGCATAAATATCTTGTGTAGGTAGACTCTACATTGCCATTGATTTCTTTGGAGAAAATTTACACCCCTGAACTTTTTGCTTCTCACAGTAGCAAGTTAAAATAATGATTTCAAACCCATGTTTTACAGTCATCTGTCAAAAACTGTGTGAGACTATAAATAATAGATTTGGATGGTTCCTTAATCATCTGTTGGATTGCTGTGTTTTTTGTGTCTCCATAGTTCTTAAACCTTGTCAGCTTGAACATCTCTGGAAGCATCCAAGGTCAGGCTGGATGGGCCTTTGAACAACTGGATGAAGCAGAAGATATCCCTGGATCCATGTGCATGACAGATCTGAAGCTGGGTTATGGAAGCATGGTTTGGTTGGCATTTTTACATTACCATTAATGTCATGTAGGGAACATGAAAGTTTAGTGATGTATTCTCACTTTCATTTCTTTGTAGTTTTTTTAGCTCCTAATTTAAATAACTTTTTGTAGTTTCAGACCATTACATTTTACCCTGTCTGTGGTGGATAGAGAATATTGTATTTCCACAATTACTACCATTTTACATTTACGTTTTCTTGTGTGTCTGCAGAGTTTTCTTTTGGTGGAATGAGTTCAGTTCTTTCTGGCTTATCTCCAAGGCCAATAGCTCTAATATCTCCTGATTTATCTCAAATATGTGCATGCAGACTTCAAAAGTGTAATGTCCTGAAATGTCACTTCTTCACAACTTCCGTGCTACTTTTTGGCTTATGCATCCCAGTACAATGTTTTGTGTTTTTCTGGATTGATATCATTCTGTTTGTTCCATTTGTGAAAAAACTTGCTGTTATTTTTCTGAGTGCTGCTGCACGGTGTTGGGAAAATGCAGCTGGTTTTATAACCATGATTCATCATCAAAATGAAAGGATTCTGCACATGGGATTTGCAGGATCCTACCTCAGGTCTAGCACTAGTCAAGACTTCCATTAATATTTTGGATAACATGGTAGAGATGATTATTAAATAGCATCCAGCCATCAGCTGCAGAGGATCCCTTTACTGCCTGTGAAAGGGTAGGATGTAAATTGAGAATTATCATGAGAGTTCAAGAAATCAGTGTGAAAAGTTTACACATCTCAACAAATTAAAATGAGAGCTACTTCATTTAGGTAGGAATAATTAAATACACAATAGTAAGAGTGGGAACAATCAGGACTGTGAAACATTTCAGAGCTAGCATATATGGCTTTAATTGCCATATATGCTATTTTTATATTTTTTTGTATATATTTAATTGCCATTCTTTTTCCCAAGACCTAGTACTTTGTTATAGAAAGAAGTTTGTTTAGTTTCATACAATCATTCTTTTTCCCAAGACCTAGCACTTTGTTATAGAAAGAAGTTTGTTTAGTTTCACACAATTTTTCTTTGATTAATCACTGGTCTTTGCTATTTTTTTTTTTATTGCTCTCTTCTGGATACTTTTTTAATTTAAATCAAGAGGAAAAATAATGAAATAAACAATTAAACATGCCAAAGTGTTGACTGTTCTACAGCTATTCCTTTTTCTTAAGATGGTTTTTACCTTTACCAGTCTTCTGGAACCTCATCTGTCTTTCAGGATTTCTCAAATATGTAGTCTGAGATTACAGCAACTTCTGAAATATAAAGCAGACTGGAAATATGTGCCAGTCTCCTTAAATAAACTCACTTTTCTGGGGGACATTTCATGTGTATCTCAGACTGCCTCACTATGTTCCATAGTATGTAAGAAACACTTTTATTGCTGTCAAAGATAGTAAAATATTACCTTTTGTGGAGAAGCACATTTTCACAGTATATAGAGATGAAATAAAACTTGCATATTGAAGCAGAATCTCATTGAAGAAGTTGTATGGACAGAAGGGAGAATATCTGCTGCACTTGTGAATTTGAGAAATATTCAGATATAAAGTTGTGTGGCAATCCACTTTCACAACATAATATGACAGTAAATTCAGATACCTCAGATTTGCAGGGTTTGAAAGGCACGTATGATGTTCAGAGACAGAAGATATTAAAGTTAACAGAAGAGACATAAAATGCATAAAATGAGTTTATACAACTATGATCTGTGCAGCTTTGGACTGAAATACAGTCAGGAAATTGCTCTTGGTTTATCTGGAGACTCCTCCCCAGTTTGGTTTCACAACTTGCCTAGGAATTCAAACAAGCTGAATGCATCTTTGACTTGCAGCACTGTTAAATTAGTGTTCCTACAAATGGGATTTCTAAACTCAAAGTTATCTTTTTAAAGAAGACCCTGGCTGTGCAGTGGGGAACAGTGGAAGATTTCATGCAGTTTCCATGTGCTTTTGTAGTTAAGAGCATATTCTTATTGATTTAAAATAAAGTCCTTCACCTGACAGCAAAGAATACTGATAAATACAATCAAAGAACTGCAAACAGTCTAATGTGTTTGGGTTCAATTCAGGCCTGGCAACCCTGCAGGATGAAATAATCCATGTAGGATAATTCTGGAATGGGCAAAGGCATCGACAGTCCCCAGTGCAGTCTCTGGATTTTAGTGTGGAGGTACCATTTGTTGGAGCAGAAGGATAATTAAGTTTTTTGTTCCTCTTCGCTTGCACCAAGATGATTAGCAGGGGAATCTCATGCTTCTGAATTTTGCAAGGCAGACACTTTTCTGATAAGAATTGAATTTGCTCATTTCAGTCAGTCTGATAAACAGCCATCAGAGGCCAGCTCCTCCCAGGGCTGTGTGGGGCACACCGTGCTGTGCTCAGCTCTCTTGGCTCCTCAGGTGAGCAGTTACTTAGCAGGCACATCAAACTCTTTGCTCAGCTACTTAAGGTCATCTGCAGTAATTCTGCCTTTCTACCTTGGGACGCACTACTTCCTCCTCTTCAAGGTGAGAGGAGTTCAGTAACACTATTTGTGCTCATCTTAATTCATTTTCCTAGTGACTTATGCTACTTTTGTGGTTTTTTTTTTTTTGGGCATCTATTACCCTGTCAGTCTGCTCCAGCCACCTGCCCTATTTATGGGCATTTTAACGGAAGGAAATTAATAGAAACTCATATTGGGTGTGAATTTCCATTTCACTAATTCACACTATTCTTGCTGGGGACACTTCAGTGTTAAAGGAAAAATAGCTTACAGTACTTTCAAAGCCAGATTGCTTTCTCCTAGCAAGACAAAGTGGCCTTAGTGGGAACTAGGGCAGCTAAGCTGCAGCGCTTGGAAATTTACACCCTAATTATCACAAATTAGCTTCTCCATCCGGACCAGAACAAATATGTGTAGAAACTCAGAAGGTTGTCCAGTGTGTTACCTTTTCCTACAGGATGATCTCCACTGAGTGCATATGGGTCATACTGAGAGCATCACAGTGGAAAACCCTTTTGCAGTTCAAATTAGCAAAAGTGCATTCTGATTTTCAGTTCCCTGAAAGTTCAAAGTACCTCTCAGAAGGCAGCATGCATGTAAATTACAGCAGTAACTGATGGATTGGAAACACCTGTACTGCTAAAATGTCATATTTGCTCCCATTTCAAGCCTAAGTCCCCCAGCTTGGCTAGCTTGGCTTAACTCAATAGCTTTGCTTATGTTAATTGCTTCAGTGGACACAGAATTATTGTCACTAAAATTAATGTTTCAGAAGCCAAAATAACCCCTCACTGGAATAATTGTTGAAAAAGATTTTTTCTTTTAGAACACTATGTCCTCAAAGAAAACCTACCTGGAGTTCACTTGCTTTTGAGAGTTGCTTTACTTGCAATCCAAAGCAAACTCTTACAAAATGTCTTTGGGAAGGAAAAAAAAAGTTAATTTCTGTTATGTGTTGTTTCACAGAAGTTTATAGGTCAACAATTTATATAGCCCAGTCATCAAGAAACACTCATATAAGCATCTATTTCTCTGAATCAGAGAGTTGGCTGATGTCAAGGTAGTTACATTGATATAAGGCTGTTGTAGGTTCAAGGAGATGAGAGCTGAGTTTCTCTATAGAAGAACTATATGCCTTGAATAGAGAAGACTGTGTATGAGTGCATGTGTGTGCAGTGCTTGTGAGTCATGATAGTTTCTAAAAGGCTGTTTAACTTTCTGAAGTTGATGTGAGTCATAGTTCTCTTCCCAGGTAATGACTAGTTAAGATCCCATTTAGCTCTTCCATTTCTCTAGTAATCTCTGAGACCTGTGTTTTCATTGATCTTCCAGTGAGCAGCTGCTTCAGAGCTCTGAGTGACATGTGAAAGCTTTAGGAAACAGCACAGATCCTTCAATTTGGAGAGCACAGATGACTAGAGCTGGAACCTGTCACTGCTCAGCCACCAATTGTCACATTGAAGTGACAATTGGTTTAACAAAAGAAAGCTTGCACTAACTGTTTAATGTAGGTACAAAACATACAGGATTGGGAAAAATGTGACCTTGAATGATACAGAATGAAAATAGGCTCAAGGGCAGGTTTTTTACTTATGACATCAGAAACTCTTTTTCTCCTAACTATTGCTAGAGTTAAACTGAGTATTTCAGAGAGCATATGGAATATATTAAAGATCTAGACCCAAACTTGTGGTTTAGGGAAGTTTATCTTGACATTTCAAGGTTACAGAAAGAAAAAGAATCACAGACTGGGTCAGGCTGGAAAGGACCACAGTGGGTCCAACCTCCCTAGGATCATCCTAGAGCAGGTGGATTGTGTCCAGATGGTTTTTGAATATTTCCAGGGAAGGAGACTCCACAACCTCCCTGGGTGACCTGTTCCAGTGCTCTGTTGCTTGCACAGTAAAAACGTTCTTCCTCATTTGCAGGTGGGGGGCCTTCCTGTGTTCCAGCTTCTGCCTCTTGCCTCTTGTCCTATTGCTTGGCACCAGTAGAAGGCAGAACAGAAACTGAAATACTTGCAACACAAAATGCACTGGAACCTTTAACCAGGATTTCAAACCTTCTCTTCTTTGTAAGAGATAGGTAAATTGCAGAGAATCACCTTGTCTTGCTTGTTCTTCTTCAGACTGGCAATAAAAATATATTAGGATGTTAAAGCCAGGATGTATTAAATGTATTAAAGATTTATATTTAGAATAAAAATGATCTTTCAGCACAGTGTTCTCATGAGATTTCTTGCTAAACATGTTCCCAACTCCTCCATTGCCACCTCCAACCTTTTCTTCTGGTATTTTTCCAATTTACAATATGAATTCTTCAGTACTTGTTGTCAAATGCTAAAATAGTTTCTATATGGGATTTTATCTGAAGTGACTAGAAATTCTAAGTGATACAGAGTGCTATAATCATTAGTTTTACTCCTACAGTTAAAAATATCCCTATTTATGGGTTTTCTATTTTCTCTGGTTTAACATGAGGAATATGTTCCAAAGTTACAAAAGCTTAGGGGATCAGTTTGGAGAGGATTTAAATTCAGTGTTTGATAAAGAGTTGCATTGCTGATGTGCTAATAATACAAGTCATGGTTTGTTGTTTTTTTTTTTGGAAACTGATTTATTTATTATTTTTAAATAGAGATCAGTCAAGCCTGATACTAATTTAATGAGTTATAGGACAAGGAGCGGGGCTATAGGGGTCCTGAGCTGATGGCAACCAGATCATTCACACTGTTACTGCAGCACATGCTGCTGTACACCTGCATGGCCTCTCCTTCCTTTTGTACCATAGATGAGCCCACCTCTAATAAAACTGCATCAAAAACAACCTTTCTGAATTAATAGAGCCATAATTTAATGTTTATATATTCATTAGTCAACACTGTTAGTTATGCAGACCATATTGTAACTATTCATTTATGCCTGCAAGTTAAAAATGACTAAGACCATTAATTCACTGAGAACACATATGTCAGTTTGGTGAAATACTGATTTTTTCCTAAATTATAGCAAAGACACCAGGTCTAGGTTTTCTGCAACAGATTGTTATTTTTGGGACAGCAGGGATGAGCATTCAGTATCAGTCTCAGTACAGAAAGACAAAGAGAAAGAGCATTTGGTTTAATTTGAGATAACTTAATCATCCTCTGAGATGGAGAACTTTTGAAGGGCATTGCATATTTGACTTTGTTCTGGCATCTCTGTTCAGAGTGATGGAGCCATGGGGTGTGATCTGATACAGCCTGCAGTGGGTGGGAGCACCAGCAGGTCTTGGAGATTTGCAGACTATTACAGGGTGGGAAAAACGAAACATTGTCAAAATCAGAGGAATCTGGCCCAGAATGCTATTTCTAGTGTTTGGACAAATGCATATCTTATGCAAATTGTCTTATTAGAGGTCTGCAGGGTCTTAAGTGACTAATGAAGGATTTCTTATGGAAAAGCTTATTCAGAAAATTTGTCATTCGTTTTTCATTTCTTTGATGGAATTCAGTTATTCAGAATTGATGAAGTTGTAACCCACTCTCTCCCCAGCACAGACACAAATTAAATTCCTTCTTGGCAGGATTAAGCAATGTTAGCAAGAATTACTTATGTATGCTTTCCATGTATTGATTTGAAGCAAAATAGGTAATGTCAAAGGCAATTAAGACTGTTTCAGATATTCCATGTTAAGATATTACTTTCTATTCCCTTCATGGGCTCCCATCTTTATGTTTGGCTTCCCCTCCATACTAAAGGTCTTGACCAGTTCAGAAAAATCTTCTTGGGAAAAGCACACAGATGCTATTTTGTCAATGCTGAAAATTTCATTACTAATTTATGGAAGGTTCCTGCCTTCCATGTATTGGAAGAATTTCACAGCTGGAAGGAGGTAACTTTTGTATGATGAAGATGACATCTACTGTTGCCATGAATAATTATGGTTTTGTCTAATTCTAATCCTTCTGAAAATTCCACACATAGTCATTAAAGATATGTTGTAATTAAGCAAATCCTTTCCCCAATCCATTTCACTTTAAAGCAGGACCTCCCCTGCAGTTGCTTTTTCCACTTGCTTTTTCTCTTCTGTCCTGTAACCAAGGACAGAGATCCTGTCTTTCTGGGGGGATTAATATCCTGTCAGATATTTCATCACTGGTGAGGAAGCAGTCTTGATGAGGTCCCAGGAGATAAGAGCTGGATTTGGAGGAGGTATGGAAGTGAGAGGAAGTAGATGGACCAGGCTGAGACTATGAGCTAACAAGAAGATAAGGGAAAAACAGACTAATGGGAAAGAACTGTGTGGTAGAGGGACAGAGGAGGCTGGAGCAATAGAGGAGAAAAGAATATCTTAAGAATTAAGAGGTGGAATGGCATCTATGCTCACAAAGTTGCTCCACTAACCCTGCAGTCACAGATTCCCTGGTGACAAACACTCTTCTATTTGTTAGTAGATCACTGGTGACATGAAGAATCAGCATGAGTGTCCTGCCTCTGTGGTGCTGGTTATCAGAGCATGGCACAGAGCAGTACTGAGATCACTTTGTTTTCAGCTGGGTGATCTGAGCTGCAAACCTGAAACCCCAGTTTTGCCTGTGGCCATTATGGATACCAGTGGGATTCTGTGTAATTCTGATATGGGCTGGCAAGGGAACAGTAGAAGCAAAGCCACTATATAGTGTCATGCTCTCAACAGTCTTATTGTGCTCTTTAGGAACATTTGTGTATTTCATATTAATCCATGGTTTTAAGAGTGGATTTCTATAATATGGAGTTATAGCCTAATAGGAACCTTACAAACTTCACCAGGGACAAATGTAAAGTTGTGTGCTAAGCAGGGAATAAGCCCTGGCAATGAAACAGGCTCTGGGACCTGGCAATTCTGCTGGAGATGGCCTGAGACAGGCAGTGGAACAGGTTGCCCAGAGAAGCTGGACTATCTCTGTCCATGGAGGCTTTCAAGACTGGTCCAGATGAAGCCTTGAGCAATAAGCCTGATCTTGCCTTTGTCACTGCTTTGCAGAAAGAGGTTGGACTAGAGATGGCCTGAAGTCCCTTCTGACATAAACTTTCCTGTGATCTTGTGATAATATACTTAAAATTTATTCATCCAGGTCCTACAAAAAAAGGTGGGAACAGCTGGCAGTAAAATGAGATTATTGTCAGGGGTTTGTGAACTATCTTATTCTTGGTATCTGAAAATGAGACTTCATTAACAAAATGTCACTTGCCTTTATTATTGCAAAGGTAACCTTTTGAAAATGAACTGACCATGAAATAACAGAGTAATTTCATCTAGAATCTGCAGATAATCTGAAATAATAATGCACAAGGGTATGAAATGCTTCTATTAATCTCTGTGGGATATTAGCAGTAAAGCCCAATGATGGCAATTTGTATTTAACCATTGTTAATAATTTAGTATTACTTAAGGTTCACAAAAGAGAGAGTCACATGTATTATTAAAAAATAATCTGTGAATGAGAGTTCTCTACTATAATTAATAAAATGGCTTTTATTCTAACAGGCATTCAGTAACATGTTACACTTAAACAACAAGCATGTAGCAATAATACATAAAACTATGAACTACTTTGGCTGAGGATGTATCACCTTGTGGGTGGATTTATGGTGATTTTAGCCTCCCACTTCAGGGACTGCAAGCCTTATAAAGACTGTCCTTTAGGTTTATCCAGTTGTGGTAATTATTTGGGAGTTGAAAGGACTCATTAGCAGTCCCTTCTCATCTCCGATGCTGTTCTGTAAATTAGCCACTGGAAATTTCTTTAAGTACCTTCGAATTCTTTCATTATCTAGCACAAAAGGTCATTTCACATAAAATCTAGTACTCTGAGACCTGCTAATGTAAGGACATCCTGAACTTGTGAATCTATTAAATCTGTTTCCACAATCTGTTTTCACAATTGGGCGTTATTTGTTTTTGAGGGCTGTCTACTGCTCACCAGATGTTCTCAGTTATTATTTACCTAGTGACTGAATTTTTATGGTCTCTTCATAGAGGTCCTCACAAAGTAAAAAAACATCTTTGAGTAAAAAAGTCCCTGATCCTGATCCTTTGAGCTATGGCCATGTTTGCAGAGTGATAGCTTTGAAAATCAGCATCTCAGTACTTGTACATCATGTACAAATGCAGCACCACCATCTATCTGCTTGTGATGACTCTGTGTGAAATTGGGATCAGATTGTACTGCAATCATATTTTTCAACACACATGCAAAATAAAGAGAAATTCTTTCTGTTTACAGGCACCAGATCTAAAGAGGGATAACTAGCATTCCAAAATTTAATCTGCTCAAGGAAAGCAAGAGCCCTCACAATCTTTTGTAAAACCCTTTTCTCCACACAGTTTACATATGCAGTCACGATCTGTTTGTGGGTACTGTGGGACAAAGCCAGCTCATGTGAAAACTTGTGCTAGGAACTGCTGTCAAGCTTGAAATGCCTTGTGTACCCATCATCAAATATATTTAAAAGAAAGAGACTCTCGTTAAAGATGAAACCTTTTTTAAATCAGTCAGAACAGAATTTACTTTCCATTTCTTACCGACTGTCTACTTGGTCTGCAATTCATCTCGTGGTTCAGCTTTCTGAAAATTTTTTCTGTTGCATTCCTGAGTTACAGGTGTGAGCCACAGGGAGAGAGAGAGCAGCAATCCCTACTGGAAATGGCTTGGGAATACCATGGAAGAAGCAGGAGCATTGGTGAGATTTTGAGGATGGAAGAGTGAAAGATGAAGTGCTAAATCTGAGACTGTGGCTGCTAAAATGAGCTGCTGAACATCAGAGAGCAGGAATTACTGCATTTCCTGAGAGTGCTGCAGAACCTCTGAGCCTTTTATTTCTAGTAGTAGAAATCCACATGGGTCTCAAGAAGTGTTAAAATAACAGGTTTTGAAAGCAACAATTTTTCATCAAGGCAAAAATATATTTTATGTATATAAAATATGTATCTTATGCTCTGTGTTTATCTGTTTTGCCCGTTCCAGGTCCCCTGAGCAGATAATGCTGCAGTCTCAGCTCCCACAGCCCCCACCCTCAGCTCCCTCACCCTCCATCCTGGCTGCTGTGCTGTACATCATTTCAAAGGAGCACAGCTGGGTGCTGGACTGTAATTTCTCATGCAGCTCAGATCAAGTCCATTAGTTTATTTGAAGGTTAGGACCAAGACCATGGAAGTGCATGAGGAGCTAATAGACAGACCGGTGTTCCTGCTGTGCTCACGGGGGCTTAAACCAGCGAGAAAATAGTCAGGAACATCCATATTATTTTCACCTTTTGCTTCATGATTTGCAGTAGTCTCATTCATAAATGACAAAGAAACAGCTCCCTGCTGTGAGGTCCTCATACCACAGAGAGTTGTAATGAGTTTGTAACGAGATGGAGATAAGGAAGATTTTTTGTGATTACTCAGACAAATCTCCGAGTGCAAATCAGAGATGTGCTGAGTGAGGGGTATGTCTTTCCATCACTCTCCATGGCTTAAACATCTGAGGATACTTAAGGTATTCTCATGGTATTATGTAAGAAGAACTCAGTAAGACAAAAATGTTCTAAATGCATCTTTATGGATTTCTTGCCTTCACTGTATGTCAGAATCTTTTGTAATTTGACAGCCACTAGCAGTGATTAATGGCTAGCAATATGGCTAGGGGCAATGTATGTTTCAAAGTCAGTATCAGGAAAGCCTCTGTGATCTTGGAAGTCTTTGGCTGTGGAACTGTCTCCTTGCAAAATCAGAAACAAGTGTTTTGCCTGTGTGCTCCTTGAAGAGCTCCAAATAAATAGCTGGAATATTAATGAGGATGAGTGAAAAACAGGGGAATATTCACCTTGGAGTGTGGAGCTAAACTGAGATTTAAGGGTTGTTTCTGTTTCATACTTTTATGATAGCTATAGTGGAATTTATATTTTCATATGTATGCATATATATTTGTGGAGATGGATACATATAAGTGCTCCAGAAAGAAATGTTTTATTTTCATTTTCTTGGAAGCATCAGGTGTTTTCTGTGTTGAATCTTAGCATGGGTAATATATATCCAGATATTAAAGTAACCATGGCAAAATAAATAAATAAATATTTCCAAAGATGACTCCTGTACCTCATTCATTGTTCTTTTCAAAATGTATGGTGATGAACAAACCATTAACATCCACAAGTATATGCTCTACAGGATTTCAGCTGCAAAAACATTAAAAGGTTAGAGAATTACAATTAATAGGTTTACTGCATCCCTGTATAACATAAATCTCATTTCTATTTGCCATGTCCTGTCCTTCTCAATTAAAACATCAGACCACACGTACAGACTGGAGCAGCTCAATTATGAAAAGGTTAGATCCATCAGTTTTTTCCTGATTGGTTTATTAATTGCTGGCCTTGACTCTTGATTCCAATCAACACTCTTTCCTCAGGATAGAAGTGGTTATTATGTTACAAATAATATACTGCATTTTTAAACAAAAATATATTGGAAACATTTACAAAGAAAGCTTCCACTGGACTTGGCTTTGGTGGAATTATGTTCTCTTGTGCCATGAAGTCTGACTTTCACAGGTGACCATGGGCAAATTTCTAAACAGTGTTGTTACTGAATCCCTTTAATCTATAAAATGAATGGAAAAAAAATGCTGTGAGCTGAAATTCTGTTTCAGTTTTGTAAGGACGTTTCAAATACATTACTTTCATCTATGGTTTTCAAGATATTTTTTAAATGGGACTTCTGATAGTTCTCTGGTGTTTTCTCATGAAAACTTTTTGCTTGCAAACCTGCTCTATTGTGCCAGCTTCTGTGCTCCAAAGAAGTGGAAGAACTTTTGACGGTAAATTTAAACCAGATCTGCAGAAACACTAAGTTGTGTCTGGAGACACTGTGGATGCTGTTAACGACAAGGTACTAATGGATCCATCCATTAAAAATAAGAGAAGGCAGGAGCTTGCTCTTCCTTTGTTATCTTACGTATGTACTTCAGCAATTTGCACATTGCATATACCTGAAAGCAGTGCCAGTTAAGAAAGGCTTTATTTATTTACTCCAACAGTAAATGCCTTTTTCACCTGATGGGAAAGAGCAGACTGATCCAGCTTTGCTCAGCTACTCTGCTTTGGACCAGGCTTTCGGGCTGGGTTCCTGTCCCCTGTGCCTGCTGCCCGCTCCGCTCGCCGCTCGCCGCGCCGGGGGTCGCCGCTCGCCCGCTCCCTCACGGCACCTCCCGCCCGGCGGAGGGGGGCGCGGAGGGCTCTCCCCGCCATGGCCTTCACCTTCGCCGCCTTCTGCTACATGCTGTCGCTGGTCCTGTGCGCCGCCCTCATCTTCTTCGCCATCTGGCATGTGAGTACCCCAACCGCGCAGCCCCCGCGCGGGAGGCGGCTCCAGCCCCGGTGTGGAGGGTCCCGGTGCCGTGAGGGAGCGGGGCGGCGGTGCGGGCTGAGGCGGGGGCGAGCAGCCCCTGGCCCGGGCAGCCGGGGCGCAGCGTCCCGCGGTGGGGGCCAGGGCGGACGGAGCTGGCCGTGAGACCTCTGCGTGGGGGACGGTGTTTATCGCACTGCTGTGAGCGCAAGGAGCCGCGGCTCGGGGTCTGTGGGGGCTCGGGGTCTGTGGGGGCTCGGGGTCTGTGGCGGCTCGGGGTCTGTGGGGGCTCGGGGTCTGAGGCAGCCCGGCCCCCGCTGGGGGCGGCTCAGCGCCGGCCGTGCCCAGGCGGGAGCTCTCCAGGTGACATCGTCTGCTTCCCTTGCCTGCGAGCACAGCGCTGTGGCGGGGAAACCGCCCCGTGTCTGATGAAGCAGATACGGCGTTTTCCCTTAATAACTTCCTAAAAAGTTGGATGAGAAACTCTCTCGTCCTTGTGGTACATGACCCGCATATTGCGGTCCAGCTTCGTTAGTTTCACACCAACAGGGTTGGTGCTCGTTCCTTACTGTTCGCTGGGTGTCTGTGGTAGGCGTAAACCTGTAACTCAGAAGATGTGAGATCATTCTAATGCATAACTTGCAATTCTTTTGAACTGTTACATATTTTAGAATTAATTACACTTCGTGTGTGCTACGCGGTAACTCCGTGCTGTAAGCATTCAGGATGGAGCAGGATAAGCTGGAATATAGAGCGAGTCTCACGGATGGTTCTACAGCTACCTGATGGAGTATGATTAAAAGAAAACCCTCCTTTGACTAACAAGCAAGGGAGCTGCAGAATTTATTTTTATTGAAATGGAAGTAAAGCTGCTAGCTTAGTTGTATTTGCACGCTGAAAGAAATCCTTCTGTTGCAAGAATGCTTTGAAATTTAATTATTTTGTACTCTTCGTGGGACTGTTACAAGTTCTTTTTTTATTGGTTTTTTTTTTTTTTTTTATTAAGGAAACCACAAAGGTGTGGGCATAGTGCCAGATGCTGTTGTCATGTCAAGTACTGCAAGGCTGGAAAGGTTCTCTAGCAGCCAGCTACTGCACTACTCTGAAAAAAGGAGTAGTAAAATTTAGATTATTACTCATGTTTTCTCTCCTCCTCTTCTGCAAACCTTTAGGTCTCCAAAAGTGAGAATTCCACAGCTTTCTCAAGGGGCTTAGAGTTAGAAGTGTGTTCTCCTTTGAATCTCTAGCTACAAATTAAACTGCAGCAATTTCAATGGTTGTTTTATGTGTTTGAAGTCTGTCACTGTGTCCTCTTTTTTTGAGTCTGGAGTTGATGTCATGTGAATTCATAACGGACTTGTAACAAATCTGGCAAATAATTCTCCCATAAATGAGTGCAGTTACTGCAAATTTACTCTTAGTGAAACATTTTTTTAACTTTCAGTCTATAAACTCTGAAGAGCAATCCCTCAGAACAAGAGCTCTTTACAGGCAACTAGGAAAGAAAACCTTTTCTCAATACGCATATGTTTATGCTGCATGTTTCTTACATCTGTTAAAAAATTGTTGGGGGATTGAAATGGAAAATGGCTGGAAATGCTCTTCTGCTGTAAGAGAGAAAGAATTGGCACTATCTTTTCTAGTAAATAGAAAAATTCTATTGAAATGCATGGTTTGTGAAGGAAAGTCATGGAATAACAGATTTAACACTCTGCCAAAATAAACTTTTAGGCGTCCGTGTTATCCACATACACAGAACAGAAGCATTTTTATTGTCCTTTCTCTAAGAACTGGTGCAGTCTGGTTTCTTCTCTGTTATATATTGAGTCATAGGAGTTTCTTTCGCCTTAAACATCTCAGTAGTGAAAATCTTCCCAAGAAACAAAACTCCTACTCCTTCCCTGTGACCTGATTTTTCTTCTACTATAATATACTGGTAAGGGACAGTAAATATATTGCACATAGGTTCTAATAATGGCAGAGGAGTGTTCCAATAATTATATTGTTCTGTTTATTTTTTTAAGACATTCTACTGCTGAGAATAAGTTGATGAATAATCTGAGTGTCCTATCACTTTGGAAGATTTCTGAGAACAAGAATTTATATTTTGTAAATTATATTAAAGGATGAGAAAAAACTGTAGCATTTCAACTTGATATTGTTCTAACCTGAAGCTGAATGAGGTTTGGGCATATATCTGGAATGATTTAACAGCAGATCAAATAAAACTTCATTTTCTTCCTGCTGGCATGTCAGATGAATTATGAGTTTCATTCATATTGATCTAATAAGTTTAATAAAAACTGTACAACCAAAACAAGAGAGTAAGATGAGGATTTTTATTTTTGGACACTGCTTTTCTGGTACCTTTCCTCTACGAAGTTAGACTGTCTGTAAATTCCTGTGCTCCTTACTCTTTGGAAACAGATAGAATGAAGCTGGTCAGAGCATTTTAAAGGAATTGTGAACAAGATGCACACAGTCCTCCATATACCTGGAATATATTGTAATTTTTTTCCTGCCTCTCAGTGATTTTCTTGTATAGGTAGCCAGAGGTGTCTGTCATAAAAAAACCTCCCAACGAAACCAAATTAGATATTATCAGAAACATTTGTTTAAACTCTGCACAAGAATTATCTTAATGTATTATTGCTGTAATTTCACTCACATATATTAAAAGGAAGAAAAGGACTTGAAAATCTTCATGTAGTACATTAAACCAATGTGACACTCTGTGGTGCAGGAATTTTTACAGCATTTAGGTTGTTTAGTGACCACATTACCTTTGTCCTTACCTAATGTCACAGTATTAGAAACACCCTATAGAAGTGTGTGATACAATTAACAGCAGAATTTGCTCTACTAACTACATAATTTGATATTCTCATCTGGTCTTGTTGTAAGCTCAAGGACAGTGTTAGTCTTCCTACTATCACAGGCACTTTGTGTTGCTGTCCTCAGCTCTTTTTCTTCTTTATGTACATCTTTTTACTAATCAGTTTTATCCCATTCCTAAATGATCCTGAGTGAAGATTTTAGCTTCTTATTTACGTTGAACGGAGCCATGTCAGGTCTGCTTGAACTCCCCACAAGACTTGACACACCACATTCATTTCTAGTGTAGCTGCACTGAGTTGTGTCTCGAGTGAACTTAACTGAAGCTGACCAAGTTGTGCCTTATTTCTCCTCAGTTAAAAAGGGATATGCTTGTGTTGAGTCCTGCAGCACTATGTTCTCTTAAAGCATATTGATTTTGAGTAATCTGAGTCCTTCCCTTCTGGTGATATTTTAAGATGAAAAGACTTGCTTTGAGATTTGTTATTTAAAGGAATGCTATAAGAAAAGAGCTTTTCAAAGTGGTCCATCTTATAATACCACAGCAAAACAATTAGTAAGTACCAAGAACATCACTGTTAAAAACAAAAGAATTTCTGTGGTGGGACATCTCTTTTTCAAGTCGTACAAGCATATCTTTGCATGTGACTGCTTCATAACCTAAGAATTGCCAGAAAGTTTCAGGGGTATCATGCCAACAAAAAAATTGGCAGTGCCAGTCGAGAAGTTGTACCACACTGGATGCTTTTTGGGGTATTTTGATGTAGTTGAGAACACAGATCAATCCAGGAACAGCCCTTTGGCACAAGAGGGGTGTGTGTTGAATGCGATGGCAGCTACTTGAGCCAAGCATAAGGAGAATAAAG